ACGCATGATCGCACGGGCCCGCCCGGTGCGTTCCAGCCTGGGTTGCAATTTGCATACAGGCAAAAAAGCATAATAAGTGGTGTGCGATGGAATAATTCATTCTCGACATTGAGGATGTCGGCATGATTAATAAACCTATGGAACTTTTTGATCCTTCCAGATGCTCACTGAGGTAGTAACAAACATCATTGATGTGTCGGTAGTGTGCAAACTGGCTGAGAGAAGCTCGAGAGCGAGAGTAAGCGCTTGCATATGAGCGCTCTCACTGGGCAATTCTTGGCTCTTTTCTGTTGAACAGCAGGAATAGTGCACAGGACAACTACACCACCGTCACGTTTTTCTTGCATTGAACTTCTACCGACACACTTGCCTAGCCAGAAGGAGTCGAATACAGTTGTTTTTTCGCATTCCTGTGTGTTTTTTCATTAATCCCAAAATTCATTATGAAGAATTCATTATGCGTTTATTCATTACGCTTTTATAGAAAATTCATTATGCGTTTATAGAATTCAACTTCAGAAACTACAAAAGCTCGAAAAAAGCTTTTTCGTAAAAATGGAAAAATAGCTAAATCCGAAAAAATGCGAATACAGTTTTTAGCCTATCACAGGATTAGATACCTGAACTAAATTTTTAGCTTTCCCTTAATCGTGTTAAACTGACGACCACAAGTTTTGAATTCTAGATGCTGATATGCACCGAAAATTAGAAAAAAAAGTGCACGTCCGAATCTGGGAGTTTGTTTCGACAAATAATGCTCGAAAATCATATTCATTCTAATATTTGATATAACACAGGCTTAAATACCTTTTGAAGGACAAGGCAAGCTGCATACTCGAAGTTGTTGGTTTTGAATCCATCGAAAAACGCGTGGCGAAATCAGCTTTTCGCTCCTTCTCTGCTCTGACTAAGAAACATCCAAACAGGTGCTAATGTTGTAAATGCAGGACCAATGCAAACCTCGAGCCTGGGTTTTGGTACTATGCGCGCTATACAGGATAAGATGGTTATCAGTAGTGCAGGCAACAACCTATAAGTGCCACCCCCACTCGTCGCTCTGCCTCCGGAAAGTTATTGAAGCATCATATCGATGTTTCGGCTTCGCCCTGAGTACTAACATTTTTTCATGCTTTCCAAAATTCAACACTTGAGCTTCTTACTGTCGAACATTCAGCGTCAATGATAAACCAGTTATATGGAAGTCATATTACATTGTTATGAATGACCGGTTTGAAAATAGTGTTTGAATCGTATGCAGTTCTGACCGGTGCATTGTTCTGGTAGGTGCCTTTATTATTTCGGAAAGAAGCAGGCTTCGGCCCCACAGTTTGACGCGTTTCGTATTCCGAATGGAACAAAATATCATCAGGTGATGAAGCTTAACATCTCTATGTGCCAGCGCAGTCATGCGCATGCAAGCAGGACAATTGTCACAATAAATAGCGGAGCGTAGCAGGGTAGCCGATGCAGTCATGCGTTTTGCGCAGTTCCGTTCAGCGGGCGTCTGCCCAGTAAGGATTTCCACTGTTTTGCCGCTTGTTTCCTAAAATGCAAAATTTCCTAATAAATTTTCACGCGCCGGTACTTGAAACGCAAAAGTGTACGAAAGATGAATTTGAAACGTTGGGGGGTGAACATCGTTCCAAAATTGTGACTTCCTAGTTCTCTGCCTTCCGAGTAACTTTCGTGCCAAAACTTTCACGCGGTTTGCGTGAGACGGCGCATACTTGGAAGCTATATTTAAGTTTTTTAGACCCCTGCATAGACGGAAAACATCTTGCTGAAGTCTTTAGCTTCCTAGCCATTTTATCGCTTGAAATAGTTCTTTCCGCTAAAACCTCCACGGGCTGTACATGAAACCCAGGCTTACGTGGGAGCTCAGTTTGAATTTACGAGTTCTTAAGTGGTCGGGAGATATTGCTTTAAAATTTCAGCATCTTAGCTTTTGCAGTTCGCGAGACAGTAATTTCCCCCGCCAAAACTTTTGCCGAGCCATACGTGGTACTCAGGCAAATGGGAGGGCTGGATTTAAATTTACGAAGTCGTAGGTGGGAAGAAGACACAATTCCAGCTTTCGTGGTCCCCAATTTGAAAGCGAGGGACACATTGCACTCGGACACATACACAGTCAGGGACGTGACAGTTTGTGGTTTGCGCTCCTGGTATACTACGCAAAACGCATAAAATTATAGTGTGGGAGAAGTACTGCTTAAAAGATCGTGTGTTTTGACGTTCACCTGGAAACAGGTGCGATTATAAGTTTTTTGCAGACAGGTGGTGCAGGTTCAAAGTAGGTGAATGAGGTAAAACAAACTAGAACTGGGTTTCCTCGTCACTATTTTTTTCATATTCTATTGATAGTGGGGAGAATAATCGCAGTTCAAAATGAAGGATGAAGTGTTGCGTGCCAGTCAAGTTCTCCATATCCTTTAGTTAAGGGCCTGCAAGGCTGTGAAAAATGATTTTTTCCCGGAACTCGTATTTATCAGGAGCCGTGATCTCAAAACCTCAAAGAATTTTTTAAAATGAGTTATGAAAAAGAGACAGACGCACAAAAGTATGGGTAAGGTTTTGTTGTAATGCGCTTTCGTTGCATTAGTGATGCGAAAACGAATTAAAATCGAAAGTTTTATTAGCAGCTTAATGATTTTTCAGTTTTTTTTAGTAGTTCTTTTTCTTTGTCTTCGTCATAAAGGCACTTGAAGTATAGAAATCTTTGGTGATTTTTGATTGTTCACAGAGTCGAGTCCCAGCCTAGCGTCTGTGTAGATAAAATGTTTCCGCAGAATGTATGATGCGTGCTACAGATGCTTTATTTTGTCACCTGGATCATTAAAAGTGTCCAGACAAACGGTTTTGCGATCCGAAGTATGCGATTTTACTCGGATTTGCTTGTAATCTAGATCAGCTTTGACAGATTCATGGAACCTGAGCTGTTCCACTTAGTATTCTTCGATTGTTTGGTGCAGGTGCGTTATTTCTTCAGAGGCCGGCCGAGCGGTCATTTACGGTCTATTTACTAGATGATTTACACCGTTTTGTCAACGTATCGTGTCCACTGGATATGGGTGCTGGAGTGCCGAGATGAGATGCGGCCGGGATGCGTGTAAAATCTTCTAGCTCGCCAAAATTTTCTGCGTATGTTTTCCAAGTAGTGTCATAGGCCATGTTATCCGCAGTTCATGATATTCCATTTCCATTCTTCTAAACGCTACCGTTGTGATTTGGTATAACAGCATTTTACTTCTGTGCTTTTTCGAGAACTGCTTGTTCTGATTCATCCTTATCCACCGACAATTGTACTTCACGTGTATTATATTCTAGCCTTTAAAACTAAACGATTTTAATTTAACTTTATAACTTAAGAATTCGGAATGATACAAGCTCATATTTTTGGGATGAAAACTCCTAGCCATGCACGGAGCAAAAGACTCAAATCACGTTTCGTGTTCTGATTTTTGGTTTAATGTCCAAATTTAGCCGAAGAGCAGGATATGTGTATTTATGTTTCGCCTGTATTTCATGAGGATCTAAATCCGGCTGGAAAAAAAAACTAGCATTTTGCAACTCTGAAGCATAGTTTCCTGATGGATGACAAATACGTAAAATCAACTTCTGTACCATCCCGAGTTTTGACGCAAAGAACGTTAGGGACTTCACGACTTGTCAACATGCTATATGCAGTCGTAGTGCGCGGCGCAGTATTCTTTTACCCTGTTAGGCCAAAGAACCATTACGACAATACAAAAAAGCTCTCCCTTTTATTTTTTGCATCCATCTACTGTGGGCAGCGTCCGTTTAACGTCAGTTTATCACGGTATTATCGTGCCGACCTTGGCGCGTGCCACTACTATTTACACAAGTCAGTAAGTAGCGATGCGCAGCAGAGCGATCATTCATTTTTGTTATAAGCAGCTGCGGAAATTGAAAGTAGCGAAGTTCATGTGGTTAGAGCCATAAATTCTGTTCAAATTTGTACCCCAAACAGCGAAACCTCAGGAGAATTATGTCATTTTTTTGTGTCGGACTGTCTGGTGAATTAATCTACTAAAACTGGGTGAATGAAAGAGAAATCGTGCTACTAGTCGGCTGGCCTATTGGCAGAATCGGACCCTCGACTGGACTAGCATCACCTCCTATATCGCTGTCAGCCTGTTGCTCGTATACGAGTCGCAAACATTAACTTTTGATATTGTCTTAGTGTTCACCTATAACCCAGTCAAGTTTCCAGCTAATTTTACAGCCCTTAAATCCAGAATTTCGAGTTTTTATTTACTGCGCCCAGACGGAATGATCCAAAATCAGCTTTAAAACTGCAGTTATTTTCGTGTCCTATGATCAAAGGTTGAAATTCCTTGTTGTCCTTATGACTGTGAATGTGTCATGCTGCAAATTTTAATTTTCGTGAATTTAATTTGCTGGAAGTCAAGATGAAAGACTTGAATTGGCGTTCAAATATTTCTGTTCTTGTCTAAACTCAGGCCGATTTTACAACTGTAGGAGCAGGGAATTCAAAGTAAACAGTAAATGAATTTGAAATTATTTTGCATAACTGGTGTATGAGCAACGCGGTTGTTACAACGCAATGCGTCCGCTGTATGTCGATGGCAACTAACGGCAGTAAAAATGCATGACCGCACCAGAACGCCCGATGCACTCACCGTTTATTCGACGTCTTTGTTTGTTTGCATTTTAAAGAGCTGGAAAAAATTTTTAATCAAGCAGAAAAAAAATTTCAGGCCAGTGAATCGACTGTCGCGCGTAGTGCGTTATGCGCATTGGGAAAGAGACATTACGATGGAACCAAACGAATTAGAAAGCACCAATGGTGATGATCCAGTAAAAGCTTCTGCTGCGACTGTTCTGGATACGGTGGCCAGCATAGCCGATGAAGGAACTCAAAAAATAAAAGCCGTTAGGGATACAATGGTTGAAAAGTGCTTGGAAAAAATTGTAGAAGCTAAAGCAGAACTGGACACGCTTAAAAAAGAGACCGACAAAACTAGTTTTGTCAAGCTGGAGGAGATTAAGCAGGCAACAGAACTTGATTTTGCAGGAGCCTTAAACAAAGGGAAAAAAGAATTTGGCGAATTCACTGAAGATGTATGTGGCAAAGTCTCCGACAAAATCGATCAGGAAGTGACCGAAATTGGCGCAAAATTAGAAGAAACCGAGGCGCATCTGGACGAATTCGTTAAAGAATTGGGGAAAACACACTCTGGAACAGTTACCGAACTAGGAAGAAAAAGCGAAATTACAAAAAAGTTGGGGGAAGCCAAGTCGCGGTTTGATGATAACATAAAAGAAATAGTAGGCGCTGTCTCCGGAAATATCGGGGAATTTGAGCAGTCCAAAAGAGAGGATAATGATAAGTTCAGTTTGTTCTCGAGGGGTGCGGAAGAAGCTCCCACTGAAGCACCGAAGAGTTTCGGAGAGTTGCGGGAAGAAGATGATGGGTTAGCAGTTGAATCACTGGATGAAGGTGAGGCAGAGTTGATGGAGCTGAAAAAGAAAGCAGCTGAAGAAAAAAAAGGTATTCAGGATAACCTTGGGAGTATTTCGGGCTCATTAAAGGATGTAGCGAGTGAGTCTTCGAGAAAAATTGGCGAGAAAGTTGACGAAAGCGAAGAATATTTTAATAAGACATTTGGGGATGCACACTACAATGAACAGCCGAAAGATTTATCAAATTTACCGCATTTAAGTTCAACCGAAAAAAGTATGCCGGAAATTAAAAATCTGCCGGAGCTGGAGCAAAGCTGGCCTGCCGAAGGCGATTTTGCTTCAACTGGGAATGTTTTTAAGGAATTTGATTCGCCCGGAAGTTTTTCTGAAAATGTCAACAAAAGTCGAGAATTTCTGAAAGAAAATAAACACGAAAATCAGACTGAAAAAGCGCATAAAAAGATGAAACATGATCAAGCCTGTTTGGGTGATGCCAGCATTTTCATTCCCGGATTTCAGAGTGGAAATCTGTACAGTCCAAATGAGAGAAAAATTGTGGCTGATGAACACGTAAGTGGCACGGATGTTGCGGGGAGTGAGGAAGTCAGAGGAAAAAGTAAAGATCATGAAGAATGTTTTACGGATTTGCGACTTGAACACGAGTCAGATGCAGCAGTTGATAGCGCACGTAAAGAACTTTTTGACAGTTTTCCCGGGGAGGCTTCAAGTAAGCTGGACAGCGAAAATAAACTTCCAAAACAGAATATATATCATGAACATAAAGAGAAAGTTGTTCATGAACATATGGGTGGAATTTACATCAAAGAAGGCGAGGGAATGGGAGAGGAAAAAGGTGGTGATTTTGAGAAAACTTCTGGAGGCTTGCAGCTGCAGCAAGGACTGAATGAAGATAAACCGAGTGATGCAGTCAATAAGACATTAAATGAATTGCTTGACGATATTTCCCAAAAAGTCCAGGAAAAAGGCAAAGAGTCCCTGAATGAAGAGATTCAGAGATCAGAAAAAGACGGAGGAGTTGTTGGTGAAAATTTGGGCCATAATTATGCTCAAGAGATTAAGGAATCTGAGGAAAGAAAAGAAGTTAGTTGTTCTGAAAAGAGCTGCAGAGATTTCCTAACTGAAGCTAGACCCGATCAGATAGGAAGCAAACAAGATTTTCTTGGCGAGGCAGATTTTGGTGGCTTGCAGAGAACAATAAAGGACGTTTTCAACAGGAATGTCGAAAAAACCGGGCAAGACGTAGTTGAAGAGAAATTATCAGGAACGCAATGGCTTCAAGGAGAACTACCAGGTGTGGAAAAAGTCCCGCCGGAAGGCGAAAATATACTGGAACCAGTAGGGTTTCAGTCAAGCCACGCTCCAGAGGTACAATGTGACCAATGGCTACCATCGACGAAACTCGAAGATTTTGTAAGTGGAAAAGTTGGCGATGTCGATAAAATACTAGAAGAAGCGTTAAATGTCCAAAAAAAATCAGATCTGCCGTCAGCGACTCACGACAGTATAACACTTGAAGAAGCTGGTGGCGTTGACCAGGCTACCGGAACGAAGGCTAGCACATTTCAGCACATTTTGAAAATTAATTTTCGAGCTACTTAATTTTATCTATTATTTGGATTGCAAAAATCCTTCAATATCTCTATCGCCATAATTGTACAGGCACCCAGAAGCTGAAATTTCGGCACTACCTCGATTACTAGGCAACTAATTAAAAACAGTTCACTTTTACTGTGTTTGTATGTGTATGTATATGCACATGTATGTATGTATGTATGTGTGTGTGCGTGCATGCGCTTGTATATATGTGCATGTTTACATGGTTTGTATGTGTGAACAGATATTTGTATACTTGTGTTTGTATGTATGTATGTGAACGTGACAGCCATACATCTGTCACAAACTGAAGCCTGTTTTGTGAGTCGAGAACGAAACCAAGCTGCAGTCTCAAATTCTGAGGGATTGTTTGCAATGCAGTTTAAGCTTTTTAGATTTTCTCAAATTAGACTTCAGTGTTCGTTGCATCCTTTGTTTAAATCCAAGTTAATCTTGTAAATTCAAATTGGGGCAAACTTGAAACTTAAATGTTTAAACTGACGTTGCAATAGAGCGTGAGTGATTTGAACTGAGTTTGTGGAGCTTGCTTCTTTCAACCGATTCAACGCCATCTGGATCGAATTAGATTACAGCTTTGCTGTTACTAATATATAGAAGCATGACGTTTCTCTCTCGTCAGTGAAGCGCTCGAACTGTTAGTTTTTATTTTCAAAAAACAAGCTTTCAGTCCTTATGAATGGGGACCTCAGTCTTCTCACCAATCCCACGAACTGTATCATTGTTATTTGGGTGTTTTTTGCAGAAATCTCGTGATCAGCTAGCAGTGAATCCCTTGTTATGTTACCCCATCGTCCGCTTCACTCCTGTGTGTGAGACTCACTCCTCTCCCACCTTATCTGATTCTCATTTCCTTCTCTAAATAAGTGGTACTTCAACACTAATTTTCACTTTGATATGAGTATAGTATCCCTTTTGTGTGTCAGAAACATTGCTATCTGTTCTGATGTGTTAATGGCTTTTAGGGTGAGGATCAACAGATGACCGAAGCGGGAGTACAGGAAGGAGCGGCTATTGATGAAGCCAATGAAACTTGCGAGAAAGTTATTGCTAATCAGTTTTGCATTGCTTGTGAGGTAATCAGTTTTAAAAATTTAAATTCTTTCAAGTCAGTAAAGATTAGGAGCATCTTGTCGTTCTTGTCCCTTGTGCCACCATTCTTTTTAAGATCGATGTTATAGGTCTTACGTAAGAACGCCTGAAAAAACAACATCTAAACTACTGATTTCAAATTCAGCTGTCGCACACGCTTGCGTCACGTGCAAATCAAATCGGAACTCGCATTTGGCACCGTTCTAACTCCAGAATTGGTCGAAAAACAGTAGCTGTTTCTTGCCAAAATATCGTCCATCTGCGAAATCGTTACACCTAATCGGGTTTCGAATTGCACCCACTCCATGTTTTAGGACAAATCAAAGATATTTGTGGCGAATTTGCGGTTTTGAGTACCGAGCAAGCTGCGAAGCTAAAATTTTTCAATTATATTCTATATTTACGTGTAGTCTAAATTCAGTCTGGAAGCTAAATTCCCTGCGCAGAGCATGAAAAACACTCAATTTTATGACGACGAAGTACGCTTTTGGTGTACTTCGTCATTTTTCTTCCTCAACATCCTCAATTTGCATTTTTCAACGAAGGACTGGTCGCCGGCAATTATTCATTCCCTTTCATGTAAAATTTATGGTTTTCGTGCATTACGAAGTTCAACTTTCGCGGCCTCATGATATAACACCGTCGCTTCGGCCGGCGCCCTTTCCAACTGCATGCAAGAAAAGGCCACGTGTTAAACTATAAAATTCCAATCATTCATACTGTTCGAGTGTAGCACAACAACGTGTAATTGCACTGACATGCATGATGCGTTGCTAGTTGGGTTTAGATTTATGCAGTTGTTCATGTGTCTTTGCTGACTTTAGTGCCTAGCTAAAAGTAGCAAGTGAAACAAATTCCAGTTTCTCCTCAAACACCACAGCAACTTTATACTTGGAAACCTGTAACTAATAGGCATTACAAAGTATAATTAATTGCTTTCTACTGTTAAATGTCATTTTCCAAAATCGCCTGGGGCGACAGTGTGAGCATCTCATGTTAGCGATGTTACTAGGACGTTATTCCAGGCCCTTCGATCCTGGACTGCTTAAGTGCAGTTAATATTCACCACTTGTACTGTTGTTCCCCGAGGACTCCAAGTAGTCGTTTACTTTTTGCGAGTACCATTTACTGATGCGTAATGTACACCGCTTCGCCAAAAGGCGAGCAACATGCCCTGCTCATCGAATTTTACTTGCCCGTAGTCGCAGTGATGTCTTGCACGCAGCTTATCTGATAGAAATTCCGATTGTTTATATGGTCACAGAAAGGCATGCCAAGTATCCTCCATTCCATCGCTCTCTCCGTCACAGGTACAGCTCGTTCTTCAACTTTCGTTGATGGCCACATTTCACATCCGCACGTCACAGCTTTCAATGCAGTGGCGTTGAAAGAGTATGACATGGAAGGCGATGTGAAATTTGCGCCAGCCAGCAGCCCTTCTACGAAGCTATGGTGTACACCTAATTCCTGATCAAAATAAGCATAACTGGCAACGTCTTTCAAATCAGCAACGTCAGCTGCAGTCTGGCTGTAAGTATACCCGCGCTTTGCACCACTGTTATTTTTTGGGTTTAATTCCACCACTTCATGCGTCGAGCTTATGCAACATCTCATTTAACTCGCGAGTGTTGCCTACAATAAGAATTATGTCATTCGGGCAGCGTAGGTGGCTTAGTCGCTGGTCATTGATCACCAGATCACCTATCTAGTTCAGTTTCCAAGACACCATTTAATGAAAAAAAAAATCCTACCGGTGATCCTTCTTCACAGCAGTCCTGCCCTCATTATTTAACATATGCAGTAAAAGGATTCATATAACCAAGTGCAAATAGATGTGGTGACCACCTGATGGGGTGGTGGAACTTTTTGTAAAAAATAAATGCACTGATGTGCCTGTACTCGTCAGAGTTAGTTATCTTGGACTTTCAGTTGTTCCGGCGCAGGAAGCACCGAAAGTTAAAATCTAGAGCTTGCCCCATTCTGAACAGTAATATCAATCTGTATTCAGGTGGGTGGGCAAAGATACCACAGAATTCGAAAACCGTTTTCACGCTTGCAGACGTGCACATGGGCATCAAACATTCTCATAAAAATATGATTCCTAATCAGTTTGGTTCTCGAACCAAATATTGCCAACACCGTCTTTATTATGTGTTTTTTTCATCTATGCAATGCACAGAAAGCATACTGACGAGAGGTTGTCTGTGTGTGTGTCTGTGTGCGTCTCGAGGCCTACAGAAGTTACAAGGCTGAAACTTTGGGAGCATAATCTACATGGGTCCCATCTCCAAAATGGGTGGTCTTGCCCGCGTGGTACCCCGTAAGGGCCCATGAAAGTTTTTTGCGGGTAAGTCACTAACTCGGGAATCAAAAAAGTTAGAACACTGAAATTTTGAAGGGATTTTCCCCGTCTACGTAAGTCTCAAAGAGCTTCAAACCGGTCTCCGGGTATGCGTGGTGCCCACGTTCGGGCCCGTGAAGGTTTTTTCGGGTAAGGTTTTAACTCGAGAAACTGAAAAGCTAGAAGACTGGAACTTTAAGAGAGTGTTCCCCGTGCAAGTAGGTATTAATGAGTTCAAACCCAGTCCTTGGGTATGCGTGGTGCCCACGTACGGGCACGCCAAAGTTTTTTCCAGGTAAGTTGTTAACTCGAGAACCTGAAAAACTAAAAGACTGGAACTTTGAGGAAGTGTTCCCCGTTAAAGTAAGTATTAATGAGTTCAAACCCGGCTACCAGGTATGCTTGGTTCCTATGTACGAGCCCGTGAAAGTTTTTTGCGGGTAAGTTACTAACTCGAGAGCCAGGAAAGCTAGAAAGCTGAAATTTTAAATGAATGCTTCCTGACAGTCTTGGCGGCCAGTCTCAGTTCCTTTAGCTAGAAGTATTAGCCGGAAAAACAGATGCCGGTAGTAGCAAAAACTGCGGGGAACTATGCAAAAAACGCATCTTCGCACGGGCAGTCAGTGCGTGGGGTAAATATTTTAACTTTCATTTGTAGCATGCTTAAAAATTAATTTTAAATTCCTCAGCCCGCACATGAGCAGAGAATATTCTCATAGAATTTTAGCATCCTTAACCTAACTGGTTTTGGAAATCACATGCTGCCAGAAAAGTATCTCTGACATGCCTGTGCGCACGACACAGTTATCGCGAAAGCTGAATGCGATACAGTTATCGCGAAAGTCTTTAGAATATATATGTATAAAGCGCATCCTCGTAAAATTTCAGCTTCCTGCCTTATATGTCTGGCTGCCTAAGTCCTTCCTTCCTAGTGCATTTTTTGACCCAAGCTGGAACGCACTAGGCGAGCCGGTGCGATTATGCATTTTTGCATCAAACTTTGAGGCACTCCA